GACGAGTGGGGGTCACCACGTTAGAACATGGAGGAAGTGGGAAAGTCTACGTGGGACACGTGGCACCATTAACTATCAAACACGTGCATAGCAACAGGTGCCTATAAATACCTCCAAGATGAGAAAGGTAACATTTGTTGATTGAAGCAACCGGAACACTCCACACGTAATCGTTGCCGTGGAGGTAAATTTTGTGATTATTTCAAAAATCATTTAGGATTATTGGTATAATTAATTTCATTTCTTTCCATGATTATCTTCTTTCTCGGTGACTTCATCTAGATTGTTTAAAGGAGGACATTTTGAGCAAGGGTGCTACAGTCACTCTGCAATATATTTAATAAAAAATTTACTTGATCATGTTAAAATATATCCCGTGCCTAATATTTTCTTATTTTCAAGAACCAAGTTGATTTTTATTTCTTTTGAGCTGTTTTGTAATTGACACAATGCTCCTTACCATTTGCATATGTTATAGAATACTTCTAACATTTTATTTTGGCACAAAATCCTCTAAATCACCCAAATGTTGCGGAAGACTCCATGCTGTCCATATCTGTTAATTTCTCTGTTAATAAATAAAAATGTCAATGGCATTTTTATCTCATCATCTGCACATGTTTACTTAAAATCAGGTTTGTTTAAAAGACAAAGTGAGAGAAGATCCAACAGGAGAAATCTATGAAAAACCCAATAATCCACCAAAAAATCTAAAATTATCACACAATTTTCACGTTTCTGTACATAGGTGAAGTCTCTGCACGCCATTGTACTGAAAATTTCGAGCAGGTAAGTTAAATATTCGTGTTTTCAAATTAGTGTTTAGACAAAATAAGTTGATGTTTGATTTAAGTTTGTAAAATAACTTTGTTGTTCATAATGTTGAATTAAGTCCCTCTATAATGTTGCTATTGGTTAAGGTGTGCTGTGTTGGTATTGATTTCTCTACTGTGGTGAAACATTGATTCGCTAGTTTGGATGGAAAAATGGCGTTTTGATGGTTTCTTTTGTTGTCAGTGTTTCGTTCCTATTTAGGATTGATTTGCGCAAAGATTTTTTTTTTGTTCCATAGTCGTATTCCACAAAGTTTACCATTCTAGGGTTGTATATTGCAAAGTTTACCATTCCAAGTTGTAATCTGCAAAGTTTATAAAATCAATGGTCGTATTCCGCAACGCGTACCAATTTTAGAGTTGATTTTTACACAAACATTTGAATATGTCTTCTTCTTTTTCAATAAAGATACATATCTCAATTTCAAACCTCCAACATAATCAAATTATTAGAGAATTCTCGTCAATTATATTCTCGGGACAAATAAATCTCATGAAGCGTATGTCTTAAAAACCTTATAAAGCGACACAGTAGCTACAATGAAGTACAAAAATATCATTCATAAAAATTAACAAACAAATCAATTGCAACAATTTGGTCCTCTTATAGAAGCTTATGCTCAATCTTAATTGTTTCACTATCATTATGCTCTAGACTAATCAAGCTCATTCATCCGAAATGGAGAAATGAAATGAAAAATAAGCAATTTTTCTATCTGAAATCGTACTCAGTCCAAGTACTCTAATCAAATCTAATTTGTTTGTATAAATTAGCTTTAAATTTCTTTCATTTTCTTATTCTAAAATGAAAGACGCTCAT